TATCGACACAAACCACTCCTTTAAGTAAACCCTCCTCCTGACATCTGTCTGTATTTCACAATATGCTGTTTTTACAATATAATAAAACCTTGTGCATCTTCTTAGTGTCTTTTTCTCTGTTGAATATTTGTAAACACAACAAAGCACCGCTCTGCCCCCTGGTGGAGAATATGTGTTATTGCACCAAAATATAACGTTCATAAAACAAAATGTTCTCATTTATGACCTTCAAACTGGATAATTATAGTTAACAGACTATAAATGAGTTTTATATCTTTTAATAGAGGAAACATGGATAATAGTTTAACATAAATAAAGCAAAGCTTTAGCCTCTCGTCGTGATAAAACTGATCGTTTCTTGAAATTCCTTTTAAAAGGTTTGATGAGGAGCTGAGCTGAAAAGACAGTCAGCTGATGGACCACTCGCTCCACAACAGCACCACCCTATGGGTCTAACATAACAAATATTCAATAATCAAATTAAAATCTGAACGAGGAGTCGTTCTGTTCCTAATACAGATTTTTTTCATGCTTATTCWTATCAGGGACAGAAATATCAAAGCTGCGGGGGTCGGAGATGTTCGCCCCGGTGCCATACTGGAACTGAGTTTCAGTACCCAACCCAGTCATGACGGTCATAGTCAGCCATCTTGTGTCAGTTTGATCCATGCAGTTTTTCCTTTGAGAAGTTTTCCAGCTGTTTTATCACCTGTTTCCACTACAAAACACTTTATTTGATTTTTCTCTCAGTCATTTTCAAAGAAATCCCACAGCGGACGTTTTCTCCCAACTGTAGCTGTCGTCATTTAGCAGCTGAAGCTGAGCAGCCGACTGTAAACGTCTTACTGACCACAGCTGATGTGGAACTACTCCATTAAAATAAAAACACACACACGTCTCAAAATTTATTGACWAAAACTAAAGATATTCTATCTATAATTTCAGTTAGTTTTAGTTAGTTTTGTAAAAACATTATACAGTTTTAGTTACCATATTTATTCATGTACAATACAATCTCAAGTATAATACGATCATCATTTTTAAGC